TCTATTTTCCAAAACTATAAAAGGAAATTCCACTTTCTAAATATACAAAAGAATCCACAACAATGCAAAAAAATACGAACACTTAGGGACTCGAACCCTAAACCTTCAGATCCGAAGTCTGACGCGATATCCATTTCGCCAAGCGTCCCTTTTTTATTGTGACGGCGCTAGTGTGTCTTTGAAGTCGTTCCGTCTCAAACTTTTCTTTTTAATTATTTTTTTACTTTATTTTTATAATTATTTTTATTATTTTTATTTTATTATTTTATTATTTTATTATTATATTTATTTTTTTATTTATTTATTTATTTTATTTTTATATATTTTTATCTTTTATTTTTAAACTTTATTATATTTTAGACCCCGATGGAAATATGCAAATATAAAATCAGGACTTTATTACAATAATAAAACTTCACTTTTCTTTAGCGTATTAGTCACTTGTTTTGGTTTTAGTTTAGTTCTTTTATTTATTTCTTTTAGTTGAAGTATTTTGAAGATTGGTTTATATTCTGTTTTTCTTATTTTATTTTAGTTAGATATTTATATTGTTTTATTATATTTTTATTTATTCATTTTTTTATTTTATTTTTATTATTTATTTATTTATTTATTTTTGTATTGTTTAATTCGAACTTCCCCTATCGAATTAAATACTGATAAATCTTCTTTTTTATACAACTCTTGAACCTAGCCACTTCAAGTTGAAGCACCACACGTATCATTATTTCGTAAGGATAAAATAATTGATATTTCTATTATCAATATTTTCAAGGAATTAAAAGATATTTAATTGAATGTAAGCAACTATTATAATGGTAAAATTATTTTTGAAGAAATAAGTAGTAATTTATTTAAGAATAATGATATTATAACAGATCTATTTAATAAATCTACGATAAATATTTATATTATCAATAATATAATATAATACTTTTGAGTCAAATCCATAAGCATAAGAGTTAGATTTTATGCATAATCGATTAACTCCTTCTTGATACTATAATTAATCCATAAAATTCTGATAAATCATTTATTTTTGAATAATTCAAATAATATTGAACTGTTAAAATTATAAATATTCTAACATTTAATATATATAAAATTATAAATATAAACTTATTTTTTAAAAAAATATTAATATTTAATTATATTACGAATAGTTTTTTATTATAAGAACATACGTCTTTTTAATTGATTTTTAAAACTGGTAAAGTTTATATTATTTCAAATTTATTATAGAATTAGTAATATATGACATAAAAATAGGTATAAGTATTTATCATTAATTTTTTTTTCTGTATTGCAAATTATTTAGATTGAAGAAAGTTAATCAAGTTGTAAATTTTTTGTTTAATTATTCAGAGTTGGTTTAAAGAGTGATTAATCATGTAATTTATTTTTTTCACAAGTGAAGACACCCTATCTTTCCATTGTTCTTTATTCACCTTTAAGTTTGTTTCAATTGGATCAAATTTTTTTTCATGTTTCCATATAATATTTGATCTAATATCATTTCTATCATTTTTATCATTTTTATCATTTCCACCACACCAAATAAGTTCCCAAGTATATCCTGTTGTTACAATACCATATACTACGTGATTTTTTGAAGCACCAAGTTTATTATTTTTAATGTAAGCATTATATAATTGCGTAAGAATTTGAGCTCTACCTTGATCCCAATCTTGCTTTTTAGCTTCAATAACAATTAAAATAAATTTACCTTGAACAATTACAAATTCGATAGGGCCTTTAACATCTTCGCCATCAATTAATTCTTCTCTTTTAATTTTTACATTTTTATCATGATACTGTGAAACAATAATAGAAATAATAATAGAAACAAACTCTTGCCTTTTATATTCATTTCCTTGATCAACATTTCCGTAAGCTTTAGTATATATAATAAGAAGTTCAGATATAAGTTCGATAACTCTGTTGTCAATTTCTTTCATTGGCATATTTTCATCTTCTGTAAATACTATATCATCGTTAATTCCAAGAAAATCTAAAACTTTTTCATATGATAATTGTGAATATCCATTTTTATCTGATTTAAATAAATCTGTAGCCGTTTCTTGTATTGTTTTTCTTTTTTTTTCATCTGCCATTTTGTAAATAAGAAAAATTCAATTTTAGATAAATTAATAAAAAAAAAGAGAAGAGTAAAAATCTAGAAACATGCTTTTTTTAAAAAAATACCCGCATAATTTAACTCCGCTTTTGTTTATGTAGTATCATGTGATCGTATGGTTTTTTTACTCTGTAAAGATATTTATAGAGTCTACTATATTCGTCACTATTATATATTGATATATTTTCAAATTCTACATGACATTATTATTTAACATTTTTTACCACTATCATATATTTCATTATTTTTTATTATATAATATTCTAATCTCATTTACTATTATAAACATTAATATTTTGAGTTTTCATATTTTTATTATGTTCGTTATTTTTAACTTTTTTTAATTACTATGCTTTATTTTACATATAACTATATATAAAAATATAATACCATACTATATACGTATATTTATTTTATATTCCGACTATTTCCATAATATTTATTATGATCTTGTAAGGTTTATCGTATACTGTTTATATCTTGATATTTATTATCGTTATACTCCATATATATATTGATAAGATAAATATTTACATTATCAATAATATAATATAATACTTTTGAGTCAAATCCATAAGCATAAGAGTTAGATTTTATGCATAATCGACTGATTCCTTCTTGATACTATAATTAATCCATAAAATTCTGATAAATCATTTATTTTTGAATAATTCAAATAATATTGAACTGTTAAAATTATAAATATTCTAACATTTAATATATATAAAATTATAAATATAAACTTATTTTTTAAAAAAATATTAATATTTAATCATATTATGAATAGTTTTTTATTAAAAGAACATACGTCTACAACTAAAATAATGAAAAGAAAATAAAAAGGTAGAGTTGGATAGGGGAGAAATAGAAAGAAATATAAAGTCCAAAACTCTCACCCTAAGAGTAACCGCCTGCGCAAGTGGAGATCCACCAGTTTTTTTGTCGGAATTTTAATTTCGAAAATGTTGTACTTTTTTTTAAAAATATAAAATTCAGTTTTTAAATACGATAGTGAGTTATATTACTTATTACAAGCGTTGTATTGTAGATATTATCAAATAGACTTCATATGAATATATATATGTATATATATATATATATATAAATATATTGGATAATTCAATAAATTATCTAGTAAGGTATATGGTGTTTTTCTTTGATTTCTATATTCTCAAAGATTGTTAATTTATACTTGTAGAATTTAGCACAATTAAATAAACCTATTTTATATCAAGCTGGTTCATATACGGGGTACAATCCTGACCGATCATACTTCACTCTAGCCTTGAGCTTCACAGAAATAATATGATTGGGAGGGTGTAGCAAAACAATAGAAGGCTACGTTTTATAATTGTATTCAATCAGAGGGAAAAAAAAGTTGTTCAACAGCAGAATAAAATTCAACAGATTCTAAGAAGACGTCACTAGTTAATTGTGAACAATTAATAGTAATAAAACTTCTTTTAAATACGATATTTGTTTAGATTTGAAAATCCCATTTGCAATATACTAGTTATCATTTTCCATTAAAAAAACCAACATTTTAGATTTTATATTATGACTTTATTTTATTTATATACATTATAACTCACAATTATATTTTATATACTAATATTAGCATTATATATTATTTTTATAGCCATTGGCATAATATTATAATATATGCTTGTATTGGCATTGTTACGCTATTATTACTATTGACTCAAAATAATGTCAAAGCTTAACGATTTTTAAAATCCGAACTCTCCGTTTTAAAATTCCGACTTCAATTTTTATTAAAAAAATACTTGGGTGGATTTCTTCCTGCGCATAGACTTACTCTGAAGCATATGCATATGCATTTTAAAGTCAGTGGGATAAATTATTATATAAAAAGGGTAATAACAAGGCAAATAAAATAATATAAAATGATTTCAATTAGGAAATTATTATAAAGTTAAAACGAAATATATAATATACAAAGTATTATTTAAAAATTTGAAAAAATAAAGAAAAACAAAAAAAGAAAAAAGTTTTTAACCTGTTTATATTAAAATAAAACTTAATTTTTTGACAGAATTTTGAATGGAAAGCTAACTTTATAAAATGCCTAACAAATCCATTACAGACAACAAACTAGAAAAAAAAAATTAAAATAAACACCATAGTGTTCACATTATTAAAAAATATATTATAGTTAGGATGGAATAGAAAAAATTAACTAGCTTGAGTACTGTGCATATAGATGAAAAAGTTTGCATTCCTTTCCAGTAACTGAAAGAGTTTCATTATGATTACTTGTTTAAACATACGTTAAGTAACAATAAAAATACAATAAAAATAAAAATTTTGAATATTTAAATCAATTTTGAATGGTACCTATATAATTCATCGTAATCACTATCAATTTGAATATACGATTCATACACGTTTCGGATAAAGCAGTTTTTCATATTATTTTTTATCTCTTTTTAGTAAAAATTTTATTCATTACCTTTATTTAGAGCCTTTTTGTTTCTTTAATATCTTGGTATCTTTTTTTAAAATGAAGATTATGATCAAGACAAATGAATATATTGATAATAGAAATATGGCTTGGTCAGTTTTATTCCACCGTAATAATTACGTATCGATATAACTTGTTCTATTATTACAATCTATAGTTTTAAATAATAATAACAGCAATATATAGGTGTATATGATTATGTATATATATTCACTCAAAAGCGTAACAAGATCAAAGTATTTATGTCTATTTATTTTTAGGTAAATGTATATATTTTTTCCATTAATTTACATTGTTTAAATTTTAGGATTTTTTTAAAAAATATATAAACATGTTTAATAACCATTGATCAATTATTTCTAGGTTTTTTTATTTATACAATAAAATGTTCATAATTGTATAAAAAAATAAAAGTTAAAAGAGTAATATTATTGCCACTTTTTATATCCATATTAAAACAAAATTATCAATATATAAATAGTTAGTTGTTTCATTTTATTTATATATATGAGCTATGAAGAAGATG